TGTAATTGCCAACCCGCATTGAGCAAGCGTAGTGAGTAATGCTCAAATTGTTGCCGTGTGATAAGAGGCTTTGCTCAGCAGTTGGCATTTATAGGCTATTGATGATGATGGTAAAATAATTTTAAACATGTATTGTGTTCATTGTTGATAACCTGTTATAATCCTCTGCTGGATTATAAATAAACCTCTTTTAGCAGTGAACATTTATAGGCTGATGATGATGATGATGAAGACGACACAGTTTAGTATTTGGGCCTTTATTAATGACGAAACTAATTATTGTACAATTTTTACTTGTAGTGTATGGATTACAATGGCATTTCTACGACCGTGGTCGCCATATTTAATGAAGATTACAGTCGTAGCTTATTCTTTGTCGTATTTATTCTATGTAACACTGGAAAAGTATTTCCTTATTTTATGCTTTTGGCACCATCTATCAAGGTTTATTGCTTATGGAGATAATATACAGGGACGATACCCAGCTTTGTCCGCGTTATCAGAATAAAAGTATCATGTGTTTTATATGGGTCACGGTCTTTTCTATGGTGAAATCGTATCTTGCATGTGTTCATATGGTTTTGTATGAAAAAGAAATATAATGATAATTTTCTTATTACCAAATAGCTGATCCGGCAAACTTTGTACCGACTATAATTTTTTTTCTCACCTTTTAAACCCTAGACTTCTACAAACGAAGATTGAAATTAGCCAAATTGGTTAAGCCGTTCTCGAGTTTTAGCGAGACTAACGAACGGAAACTCATTTTTATTTATATAGATAATAATAATAAACAAATCAAATATCTTGATTTGGCTCACGAGGTTGTCGACATGTGGAATGTAGATTCGGCAATCATTGTGCCGATAGTCGTATTGGCCAATGGGTTAATCCCTAATAGCCTCGACAACCACCTTAGGAGGCTAGCGTTAGGTAGTTGGGTCAAGGGCCTGATACAGAAGGCAGTGCTCCTTGAAACGGCACGTATCGTGAGGAGGTTTCTGTCTCTGGAGCCCTAACCACCGGTAGCTTGGACCATGCTCCCGCTACTGGTCGGCTCCTATTTTTTATATTTTTAAATATTATTTACAGAGAATTTATAGAGAATTTAAAATAAATATATGGAAATAATAATAATAAAATGTTTTTTACAAAAAGGAAGGATAGATAAGCCTGGGCCTTACGCCCAGGATAGATAGATAGATAGATTAAAGCTCCATAATTCTGGAATTATATTCTAAATCACCATATTTTCCAGTTGACTAAGGTAATGCTCCTTTGAAAATTACCGGGTAGAAGGTCTCTTTGGTAAACATGCATCTTTTAAAACTGACATGAACGTGACCATGCTTTGTAATCACTTTTATCTTGAGAAATTTCATAGTTCAACCTCTGCACTGGACAGTCACGGCTTGATGATATTGACCCTTAATAGATAAGAACTAAGTACTATTTATCCTTACACCGTTTCTTTTTAACTTACACCAACAAAAATCTATGTTTCATCTTGATACGTTTTCCTCATTTCTCCGTCTCATGGGTTTCATCTATTTAGATTAAGATTAATTGCAATATTCCTAAACCTTTTAGGAAGCTGTGTCTCCTCTTAATCTTTACTCTAATCCTTACTATTATTTAATATTATAAATCGGAAAGTGAGTTTGTTTGTTCCGCTTTCTCGCCGTAACTACTCAACCGATTGCTTTGAATTTTTGCAGACGTAAAATTAGAAGTCCGGATTAAATAATAGGGTACTTTTTATCCCGGAAAAATTTGAGATTCCCGAGGGAAAACAAAAGTATTGGTATAGATGGCGCTGTGTGTATTGGTATATGTCACATTGGCTACTTTTTATCCTTTTGTGACGCGAGCGAAGCCGCGGGTAAAAGCTAGTATATTAATAAAAAGGAGCCATTAAGCAAGGATAGCAAAGTTTGGAGGTGGCTTTGTGTACCATGTCTCGGCTGACTCATTGAATGTGTTTGCACGATATTGAAAGTTATTTGGGAAACTGGGTCAGGAGCTGTGCAAATACAAAATCTCTGGTTGAAATTTATTACAATAAAGTTTGTTTCGTGTTTCTTTTTTTTTTTTCATAATCAGTTTTATGGCGTTAGGATGGAAAATTAAAATTTCTGGCATACATTGCCGTCGAATCCTTATTTGTAGAAATCAAAGTAATTTTTAGCGTATACGTGACTCTTACTAAATTAAATATAAATTAAAAACAAAGTCATCTGTTTGAAGTTGAAAGCAAAAATGTTTGTCTATCAGTCGTTTAATATTATATGAAACTGTTTTCTTAACTTAACATAATCCTTATAAAGAAACCATCCTAAACAGGTCAAGTTCCGTAGCCATTTTTCTCAGGCATGTATACCACGCTATTCATGGCATCTTAAAAGGTTATTTTTTGTGTGCAAAAATGTTCACAATCTCGGCTATAAAATGGCCTCATGGGGGGAAAGGTGGCAATTACTATTGACCGATGATAAATAGCGTGGGCGAAGGAATACAGCTTGCCGCCTATTTTCGGTAAATCGATGTAGCCGTGCTACGGGCTACGGGTACTCGTAGCGGTTACGAGCCGAATCTTCGTAGCTACTACGCAGTTATTTATTTGCTTGAATCTTGATACAATTTTCGGTAAATCTTAAAAGTGTAACGTGTTTTTACTTCATTTTGCATACATAAATAAATATTCCTATGTATTTCTGGCCATAATGGATGTTAAAACATACTTTTGTACAACTTAGCCAAGGGTACATCAACGATCACATTCCAATGTTAAACTGCCTTCAAAACTAATACTGTGGCAGATCATGTCCTGATAGTGATCTTAGCTTTACCTCAAAGGACTCAAGTCCCTTAAATAAAACCTATGAAGATTAACCTCGGCTAGATGTAGTAGAGGTTGGGCATAGGTCATGCAAAAGACATCACGATGGTAAGCAAGGGGTCATTGACTGACCGGTAAACCTTGAGGAGTTTATCGAACGATGATAGACACTATTTTCTGCCTGTAACTGTGATCCATGCAAAACACAAAAGCAGTGGTAACATCCGTACAGTATATAATACATTCATCAATAGCCCATGACAACCCATTACTCGACTATAAGCTTCCTCTAATCTACATTAGAGAGGTATACCATATTCCCCTTGTTTAGCCGTATACAGTTCTGCAGCTAAAATAAAGCTATTATTAAGTACCACATCTATTCATTATTCAGCATGACGAATAAACCAGGTCAATGCAACCAGGTGGAAGTGTCAAGTGAACTATAGTATTGTGATCACAGTTTATTTTTTTATCGACACTACAATTTTCTACCGTTACGTGTCATAGAAGCCAAGTTAGTCTGTTGTCCAACTATTGAGACAAAGTCATCATCAACAAGATGGCCTTTTCTACAAAAGAGGGTTAGCCATGAAGCAGCTTGCGATCGTCGTTTTTAAGGTTCAGATTTATCAGAGAGCTGCTGCCTAGTCTCTTTTTTATAGCATAAAAAACGAGCAGACGGATCACCTGATGGTAAGCAATCGGCGTCGCCCATGGACACCTGGAACATCAGAGGCGTTACAAGTGCGTTACCGGCCTTTTGGGGATTAGGAGTTTGAGGATCGTTGGGGATTCAGGGATTGGGGAGATTGGGGAAGGGGAGGGTAATTGGGCCTCCGGTAACTTCACTCACACGACGAAACACAACGCAAGCGTTGCTTCACGTCGGTTTTCTGTGAGGCCGTGGTATCACTCCGGTCGAGCCGGCCCATTCGTGCCGAAGCATGGCTGTCCCACATTTCAAATGTCAAATGTCTCTGTCAAATGTATAGTCCCTTTGTCAGCAGTTAAGACACACGAACAGAGTAACTATCTAAATGGACAATCTTCACTAATATAATCATAAAAACTATACATACATGAAGCTATAATAACACATCACGTTTTCATTGATTAGAAGGTCCTGCATAAAGTTGGTTATTAGCTAGCCTCGTGCGCTAACCCTGAAACTTGTAAGGTATCGAGGCAGGTGAAACAGATCGATATAACTCGATGAGTCACGCTCATTTATATCTCGCAGCCGTACCACCTTGTCAACAAATGTAAGTCAAAACAAAAGTTAAATCCTTACTATATATAATATATATATATATATATATATATATATATATAATATTATAAATCTGAAAGTGAGTTTGTTTGTTTGTTTGTTTGTTCCACCTTCACGCCGTAACTACTCAACCGATTGCATTGAATTTTTGCAGACTTAAAGTTAGAAGTCTGGACTAAATAATAGGGTACTTTTTAACCCGGAAACAATTGATATTCCCGAGGAAAAACAAAAGTATTGGTATAGATGGCGCTGTGTGTATTGGTATATGTCACATATAAGCTACTTTTTATAATTTTGTGACGCGAACGAAGCCGCGGGTAAAAGTTAGTGTACTATATTTATTAGTCTCTATTAGCAATCTTTAGAATTTTGCCAGATTTTCGTCTGATGTTCAAATTTTTTGAAACATTTTTATAAAGTCTATGTCAAACTTACACTTCTATAATTAAATCTGTCGTCAGAAAAGGTAACCGTGACTAGTAGCGAGTTGCAATACAACATCCGTGGGTATTGGAGCTGGTCGTCAGAGAGCATTCAATAGAAAATACATTGATAGGAGTGAGATGCGGTTTTGCAGGGATGTGACGTTACTTTCTATTCTTGGTTGACTTTATTTACGTATTTTACCCAAGTTAAATAGGTACTGACCTTAAGCTACATATCTTAGAAAAGGCTAACAGGGACAAAGGTATACGAAGGTCTGGTACTGTGGTACTGAAGGTCGGTCTTCTTGCGGAAAATAAAATAAGTAACTTGTTACACTGATCAGATCACTGACAGTTCGGATTATTTTATGCAAAATACATTTATTCTTTGTCCGGAATTCCATCCACAAGATAAGTTTTAATTATACAATTTCTCATAGGAAAATGTTTGCAATTCCAGGATGTGGCCTTCATCAACCCTGCGAACGTGGTGTTCGTGTACATGCTGGTGCGCGAGCTGGTCGATGGCGAGAGGATAGGCCGTCCACAGGAGCTGCAAGCCGTCGTCCTCACCTGCCTCTACCTCTCCTACTCCTACATGGGCAACGAGATCTCCTACCCGCTCAAACCATTCCTAGTCGAAGACTCTAAAGATAAGTTTTGGGACCGGTGCCTGCTGATCGTCGACCGACTCTCCTTCAACATGCTTAGGATCAACTCGGAGCCCGGCTTCTTCACCGAAGTGTTCACGGAGCTGAAGGCGTGCGGCGCCGCGGTGGAGTCCCCTCCGCCGGCGCCCGCGCACCCCGCGCCCGCCCCCCCGCTCGCCATCAGCGCCGCCTGACAAACGGAGGTCGCCGTCCTTCGCTTGGCCCTCACTGACCGCCCCAGTCGTGTTTGATGTCGGCTTCTGACACTCGAAGCTCTTGGTCAATCGTCTTCGGTTTAACGTTTCGAGTAGCAACGCGTTTATTGAATCGTCTAGTGTTCAACCAGGTTTGAAGTGAGGATGCTAAGTAGACTGTCAACATTTCAAACCAATTAGTTAATCTAACCTAAGCTTTACCTACGTTTTTTTATCACTCCTTCGGCCATAAGAGAGTTTTCTATGTGCTTTTGCCTAACGAGGGCTTAATGAGTCAATACTTACACCGTGTTTAATTAAATATTCAGAGTGCAATATATTCTAGTCACTTGTTATATTGTGTTATGTAGTTAATGTAAGCAGTATAATATATAAGAAATATTTTTGTCATTCATGGTGTGATTGCTCAAGAAAGTGAGTTAATTAAAATAGGTACTAAAAGCTTAATAAATAATTACGATTGACCAAGACTTAAAATGTCACTGCAATAGATAGATGAGTGAAAGGAGGAATACGCGAATTATGTGTGCTACCTTCATAATTCATTATAACTTTGAATTAACTTCGAAGGGAGAATGTGATATCTAGAGGAAACACTTAATTTCAAAGACATTTTAGACATTTGTAACATCCGATATTAAGCGATATTCATAACTGGGGCGACAGCGTGCTGTCAGGCATTGTGTGGGGAAGGATGGCAGGAAGAAATGGCCAAGTTTTAGAGGTGCCGTACACTGGCCATTTGGGTCGCGGCGATCGATATTTTAACACGCAACCGCGAGATTAGCGAGATGTGACTGCTGTCGAAAAGTGTGCCTGTTGGCAAAGTACCAGCACGTCTGGCAACCTCGTGGCATTGCTGAGGCCTGACGACAGTGTACGAGCGCTCTAACAGCTGCAGTTTAAAAGACTGTTGATGCGGTGTATCTGAGAAGCACGCAGTCACAGGTGTACCTACGACTACTCGTCGTATGTCAGAATCAACGACAGTTGCCGTCGCGGCCTCTCGCCGCTCGTTCAGACGAAGTGCAACAATTGTTGTGGTGTTTGATGTAACCACGTAGTAGTTGAAGTTGCACTCTCTTCTCTGTTCGTAATCTTTACGTAGGTAATTGTCAGGTAATGTTACTTTCTCGTGCCGCCGGACCAAGCGGTGTTTTAGTCCAATAGAACAGCGGTTAGCTAGTAAGTTAAGAGTTTCGTAAACGTAGTGAAATGAACGTATTGCCATATAGTTAGATGATATTAGAGAAATGTCTGGCAGGCGGGAGGATGCAATAGTGCGGGAACTCCGTCATAATGTAATCCGGTAAGCCCTTCTATGAAGTGTACGTATTAAATTAATTGACCGGCTCAAAGCGGGACGACTTGATTGTTGTGTTGAGGCGATGAAATGTATTAACAAATAGGTCAAATTTTGCGAAGGATTAAGCGTTTTGTACAGTAAAATCGAATAAAATAATACATCTAAGTCTTAACCGTTAGCATAGTTTAGACAAATGGACGGCAGGCTTATGTCTGGGTGGCACTCGGTTCAGGACTCCAGTAAAGAGACGTAAATCAGAAACAAAATGCATTCATCAATGTTGTTCGCGTTAGAATCGATGTTGGAAAGTCAAGGAGGAGGGAAGATTTTGAGCTTAGTTACTATTATAATGGCAAGTTGTAATAATCTGGTGAGAGGATAAATGATTTATAAGGTTCACGATGTTGGACAGCCTAAGTAATCGTTGCAGGTAGGGGTAAGGGCCAGTATACCGACACAGCCAGTTACCCGAGTGCCGTAGTTAAGATAAAATTGTTTAGTCGAGTGAATGTCTATGGATGCTGAGGTGTAAGTATTTAATGATAATAATAAAATTAAAAAAAAAGAATCTCATAATACGTTCCAATCATAAAGGTTAGATAAAAGTAGATGTCTGTGATTTATTGAATCTTTGCTTTGTTTTAGTGATATTTTTTATTATTATTATTGTTTACCTAATGTTTTATTTAATTGCGATGAATTGTTACAATTATTTATTGTCTATTATTATTGCTTAATATACCTGGTTACTGTGCTCTCAGTATATTTTTACTTTCCAATATTTCCTTAAATTTTAGAAGCACGATACGACGCCGTCTGTATAATATACAAAGTAAAATATGAGAATGAAACACTAGTATATTAAATAATTGGATTAAAAATGCTTTTTGAGAATTAATGAGACATCTATATATATAAAAGAAAGTCGTGTTAGTTACACTATTTATAACTACAGAATGGCTAAATCGATTTGAATAAAAATTGGTGGAGAGGTAGCTTAGAACCAGGAGACGGACATAGGATACTTTTTACCCAATTCTTTTTTTTTACTTTTTACCGAAAATCAAGAACGGGAACGGGAAATATCGGGATTGCGCGTACGAAGTCGCGGGCAGAAGCTAGTTTGAAATATTATTTAGTGTTGTCCGTTTTCGTTTTATGTTGTTTACTATTTATGTTGTGCCTATTACTTAGATAACTGTAGAAGACATGTTTCTTTCAAATTGATCTCGATTTAGTGTTGGGTAAGTGTTGGATCGTCACGGCTACATTCCAATTACTAGTTACGTGTAACTTAAGTCCACAATGGCTACAACAGCCGTATACAATTCAATATCGAATTTCGACGATCTCTCTTAAGATAAAGAATAGCGTAACTTTCTTATTTTAACGTGTGAATGTAATAAAATAACTCGAAAGGTATAACGGACAAGTACCTCTTCTAACATTATTCATGTAACTCACGTTTGTTAATTAATCTATTGTAAATATACCCAATTATTAAAAAAACTTTCGTATATATAATACATGGTGTTTTATTTATTCATTTCTTAGATTATAAGTTTAATTATTTCCTACAAAATTGGCGCAGTAGTTGAGTAGTTCGCTGTTGCACAATCTAATACGGGTTCGACTCCCGCAATCCCGCATGCAATAACTCTTCACATTATATGCACCTACGATACGGAAGATAGCAAATGAACTGCAATATTGAAGTGCAATCTATAAGAAATTAAAAATGCAGTATTTTTGGAACTTAAATAATGTAGGTAGTAGCTACCTACCTACCTACCTAGACAAGTTAGTGGCCACTGTATACAAAAGCGATTGCTGAATTTGAATCCTGAGTTCAGTTACTAAGACATAATTCTATTCACCCGTCATTCTAGAGGAATGAATTTGAAACGCAAATATTTGGGGCATATTTCATTTCAGCGCCATTAAAACACCGTCGTAAAAATGTAACTGGATGTTGTCATAAAGGCAGTCAATTGAGTTTTTGATGATCCCATTAACGGAGAACACCGTGACCTAAATAGGATAGGTTTATTGCTTAATCAATGAAAGTAAGTGTCTATGGGCTTCAAAGTTATGATTATGGCTTAGGTACAGTCCACGACGGCCTGCAATACCTACGTAGGGTTTTTTTTAAGGGGGGAAAATCATCGAATGTCTGCTCCCGCCTGGGTGAGGCGAAAGGAAGTGTCAGACTCTTCCTGATTAAAAACCACCCCGTTCCTTCTCCTGCACTTCGAGCTGGAGCCCCGGTAACCCGTTAGGTTCTCTGCGACTCCGAATCGGCATCGGCCCTATTGGGCCCCATCCATGGTGGTCTGATGGCTCTTTGAGCGCGCGCAGAACGTGACGCGCCGTACGCTCAGGTAGGGTATAGGATAGGGTGTATCATCGATAGTGCAAGGCAAGGCATTTATCATTTGTAGGCAAATGATAAATGCCTTGCATCTTGCTTATAAACAATGAAAACTGTCCACGAAGCGGCAACGACGAATCCACATAACGTCATTTGATAAATGTATGCATACGACGCGACGACAGTATGTTCATTATGATTTCTATTCGTTGAACGTGGGTAAATAAGTGATAGTAAGTGATATATTGCTAGTTACTAACAAACCTTCATGACATTCACAATAAACGATTGCATTTGGATATTGTTCTTACAGATAAAAAACAACAATAAACGAAGTATTGAAATTGTTTAACGCAAAGTTTTCTCAAATTAATTTCATTTCGAATAATATGTTAGTGGTTTATTTACCTACAGCCACATTTTATTTAAATTCGTACCCAATATAGAATAAGAAAACATTCAAATATTTTCTGTCAAAAGGAGAAATACATGTACCATCTGTAGGCTATAAAGTGAATATGTTGCTTATGGAACGACGTGCTCATCATCATTGCTTACTACCAGGCCAGTCAAACGTCGGCCCATGAAATATAATAAAAACTGTAATCTAAAATCCGATTAAAATGTTGCCATTATAAATATGATTTTCTGCTGTCACTGTCAAGGTTTTACAAACTGCCACTTTTGACATTAGCGTAAACATACCAAAGTTTTGAATTTTCGTTTATTTTTCTAATTTCATAAAAACATTGGTATTAAATTAATATAAAAAACCGCATAAAGCGTTTATTAGTTATTTAACTATATAAAGAGCGACTCAAAGTTTGCTTACCGCTTAACTTTTATCGATTCAAAGTTTTGCCGGCAAAATGGGTGATTATCCAGATCCTGATGAAGAATACGAGTTAATGTACGCAGATGAACTGGCAATGCTAAGAGAAGATGAGGATCATGCAGGTAGATTAACTCTTCATAGACAGCTAACACCAAAGTTCCGTAAAATGTCTTCAAAGTAATGGAGAGGTTAGTTTTTGTATTGATGTTTATGTTTATTTACATCGCCTCTAAACATCACTTTCAGAGCCCAGCGTGGTGAAAAAGAAACCCTTACCAGCTAAAAGAAGTCTTGATTTCTCCAGTCCAGTAGCCAAGAAGCCAGTTACAAGTAATTTTGCAAACAATGCACCGGATGTTATCACAAATTCTGGTGTTACGGAGAGCACAGACATTTCACTAACTCCTAACTTACAACCATTAGAGGAATTCACCCAAGTTTCTAATAAGAGAACTGCAGATGAACTGTTTGGGGATATTGGAGATATAGACTTCAATGAAGTAGAGTTACCAAGTAAACGACAGAAGACCGAAGAAGAGACTGATTTAGAATTAATTGAGAAGATTCTAGAAGGAAGGAGGTTGAAACAGATTTTATTGGAGCCCAGTGGACGCACACTGGGTGGTAGATCTAGATATAATGCTAAGGATAATATGTCACTGGATATACCAAGGTAACATATTATTTTTTCTTAAAATAATCATCATCATTATCAACAGCCTATAAATGCCCACTGCTGAGCAAAGCAAATTTGACACGGAGGTTTGAGAATCACGCGTGCTCAATGCGGTTGGCGATTACAAACTTGTACCTAATTTGAAATTATAAGCCCAGGTTTCCTTACTATGTTATCCTTCACTGTTCATCAGTGGTGTCTAGATAATCGTAGAAAGTACATATAACTCGGAGAAAGTTACTTGCCGTTGGTAGGTTTCAAACCTGCACCCTCATACATGAGTAGTTAGAATAGTCGTCTTAACCTCTTGTCTGTTGAAAGTTGCGGGTATAATGTGTTTTATACCGGGAGTTGGTGTTTCAACAGATAAGAGGTTAAACCGGGCCACCATGACATTTGAAAAAAGAACCTCTTTGTCCATTCTAATAGGTGTCTCATATGCTTGTTCAACACAAGAACCAGCATCACAGCATTTATTTGTAGAAAGCTATATAGGCTCATTCTATTTCTAACACTGTCTAGCATTTACTTTCCTTGTTTTTATAAGTAACTAGCTTTTACCCGCGGCTTCGCTCGCGTCACAAAAGGATAAAAAATAGTCTATGTGACATATTCCTCGGGAATATCAATTTTTTCCGGGTTAAAAAGTACCCTATTATTTAATCTAGACTTCTAACTTCACATCTGCAATTCAAAGCAATCGGTTTAGTAGTTACGGCGTGAAAGTGGAACAAACAAACAAACTCACTTTCCGATTTATAATATAAGTAAGGATTTACTTTCTATAATCAATCTATAGTTAGACCTACTCTCACCTTTGACACAGGATTATCCTAGTACAGGCACCTAACCATGTGAGATCTATTTTTCTTACCCAAGGAATATTTTTGTATCTGTGTCCATTTACATTTCGGAATAAAGATTATATATGTCGGAGAAACATTGTCATGGCCGACATCGTCATTTGTGATTGTGGGCTTAGTGGGCGTCATGAGGGTAAAATGCGAGCACAAAACACAATATTCACAATAAACACTCTTTTACTTAGTTACTTAGGCAGTCAAATTCAAATTATTAATAATTCTAATAAATCAAATTAAGAATTTTAAGTGTGACAAATCAATTTAAATTAATTTTAAAAAGTGAATATAATACAAACAAAAATTAATGTGCGTTATGCAATGCAAGTAACAATTAACTCCCAGCTTCCTCCGACATATATTTATTTATAAAAAATACAATCTATAATCTACTTTTGGTTCCACTCATATGGTAACCATACATACTTGCTCGTTCTTCTCCATAGGAATCTACACCTTGGAATGAGCAAATAGCTTCACTTTTAATTTTTTTTTTGTTGACGTTCAAATGTGCCTTTCTGGTCTAATTGAAATAAATGATTTTGACTTTGTAATCAATATTTCTTTTAACAATATTGTCATGTGTTTCCAGATGGCCATTTGTAGCTCTCTCAAACTCAGATGGTGACCGTGTGTATGTGAGGATAGAGTCGGAGGAGGACTGGGAGAGCTCCTTGGATAAAGGAATGGAACAGATGTCTCTACATACCTCATATGCCAGTACCTGGGTGGAGGCTCGGAAGATTGTAAGTTGATATGTTGATATTTAAAATTGTGATTACAAAAAAAATTTTGATTTATAAATGTACATACATAAATTAATTTTTAATTCTTCCATTGTGTTTACTTATTTACACTAGATACATTCTGGAATCATTTTTGATACCTTTTAGTATTACTATAAAACAATTGGGCTTTAAAGAACGTGTTAGCTACACAACTCTAGAACAGCTGAATTGATTTAGATTAATATTGGTGCGGAGGTCGCTCAGAACGAGATGACAGACATAAGATACTTTTTATACAATTTTTTTGTTTACTTCTTACCGAAAACAACGAACGGAAAAAACGAGATTGCGCGTACAAAGTCGTTGGCCGAAGCTAGTTAAATAAATAAATATATGACTACTATCATTTAGTTCTGTCTGTCTATTTTTAATATTCATCTAAATACAAATACTAAAATGCCAATAATTATTTTTTCTGCCAATAACATTCCAGTTGGAAGACAAGCAGCAGAAGGTAATATCAGAAGAAGTGGCTACACAACCGCTACCAGATATAGACACAGATGTCAATGGTAACATGCTGTGGGTGGACAAGTACAGGCCGCAGTCCTACTTTGAGCTGTTGTCCGATGAGCCTGTCAACAGGGCTCTACTGCATTGGCTGCATTTGTGGGATAAGGTAAAAATATTTATTTTTGTATTATATCATACTAGCGACACGCCCCGGCTTCGCATTGGTGCAATATGCATGAATTATACATATAAACCTTCCTTAAAAATCACTCTATTTATTAAAAACCAAACTCGCGAGATTTGCAATCCTATAAATAAGTCGATTGCATTTTCTAAGTCCTGAACATTTGTTCTACTTCAAACCTTCGACCACTTACTACTGAGTGAAGTCTCCTTCATACAGTGCCTTGACGTTACTACATCTCCTTCCAGCGACAATTATGATGTCGTTAGCCTACCTTGCCGTCGACCCGTGCCTGATTTATGGTCGTTACTCCACCATCCTTGTGCTCAACTTGTGATCCAGTGTGCAATAACTTAAATGCAGCTCCTGATAATCCTGATATCTGTTTTGGTCTGTATATCAGACTTTGTCTCAAAATCCACAAACTCTTTATGACATAATACTTTTAAAAAACTTTCTAAATTTTTTTTTTATATATATTTAATTCAGACAGACAGTTGAAACAACTGATAAATGCCTGTATCGTATTTTTCTATCAGTGGTTAATTCGATGTTGTGTATCTGTCAAGTCTGTTTTTGAACTGGTTACCATTCTGTGTAGCGATTACATATTTTGGCAGCTTGTTCCATGCTCCGACCACGCGATTACTGAGAAAGTGTCTCTGAGGAATATTTTTCGATAAGCTTTTACACAGCTTAAGGTGGTGGCCTCTAAGATGAACGTTTTCATTACGTGAGAACAGTTGGTCGAAATCAGTAATGTCATAATGTCTACTCAAGATCTTGTGTGTCTCAATTCCAGATAGTTTTCAAGAAAGAAGTAAAGACTAAGGAGCCACAGCAGCGTACAACGTTCAGTAAGCGCGCTGGGCAGTTCCAGCTGACCAACAAGTGGAAGGGGAAGAAGGAGGAGCAACCGGAACTGGACGACGACGGCAGGCCGCACCACAAGGTGGCGCTGCTGTGCGGCCCGCCCGGCGGCGGGAAGACGACGCTGGCTCACTTGTTGGCTAGGATAGCCGGTAAGTTATTTCTCTTCGATTTTAATCAAATTTTCGTGGTGCTTGACGACTGGACTTCTCCCAGTTGTACAGTCTCTTTTTGTGCCTTACATCATTATGTCTCCTACATTAATACACCGAGGGAAGTAGAATTTATCGTTTTTTCCTTCTTTTCTTATAATACACTCAGATTTATTTCGTTGCGGGATCCAAGACAGTTATTCATGTTCCAGTGCGTCTGATTTCAGTGTTTCGGTGTTTTCATCATTGTTGTATCTACTGTAGATCCTGGCTTACAGGAGTTGCAGTGGTTTTGGGAGGTTGTGGCGGACTTATCTCAATAAAAAAAGCTATTTCTGATTTCAAGATGTAAAGTTAAGATCTGTCTAATGTCTGTGTAGTCGACTCTTATGACAACCGTTGAAAATGAAAGGGTGGTGTCAATTATATTTATTACATAACATAACATCACGCCTTTTATCCCCGGAGGGGTAGGCAGAGGTGTACATTATGGCACTTAATGCCACTGTACAATGTAACACCAAGGGTGAGCCTATTGCCATATATATACCGGGCACAATTCCAGACTCCGTGCTACTACTGAGATTTTTTGAAAAAACCTAGTAGACTTTGCCAGATCCGGGAATCGAACCCGATACCCCTTGCCCGGCACGTCGCACTTGCAACCACTCGGGCAATGAGGCAGTCTATATTTATTATTATTATTTATTTTAGAATATATTCTACTGTGCTAATACATGGTCTGAAGTAACTTATAAATATTGTGTTTTGCAGGCTACAGACCGGTAGAACTGAACGCGTCAGACGAGCGCAGTACGGACGCGTTCCGCAACGCGTTACAGAGTGCCACGCTCATGAGATCTGTACTCGACGCGGAGAAACGACCCAACTGCTTGATATTAGGTAAACATTCATATTAACATTCAATTGGGTAGTTTCTAGGGTATAAAAATTAAAAATCTGATTAGTCCGTCGGTTAGATAATAATAAAATATTAGAGACGTATTTTGATAAACTGGCGCTAAGTTTAGGAGTAGGAAGTCGTTACATCATAACGTGCTACAAAATGTAACACGCTGTGACGTCACACGATATTTCAAATTAATATATTTTCGAAAGTATTTAATTTTGTGAGAAAAGAAAAAATACGTGTATAAAGTTTTTAATGAACGGACATTAAAATAAAATTTAGGAAACTACCCTATTCTGTGACTGAATACCTATATTATTTCTTATTGAATTTGATTCAGTGTATAATATTGATTAGTTTTTATTTTTCTCACCAACTGGAATTAGCTGCAAAGTAAGTGAATAAATACATTAGATTTTTATATTATATTCAAAGATACAAAACATAAATTATATACACACACAACACACAACATCACGCCTTATATCCCCGAGGGGGTAGGCAGAGGTGCACACAGAAGTAACACCCACTTTTCACTATTTTTGTTATGAGTCCCATGTAATAGGGGGTGAGCCTATTGCCATTTACCGGGCACAATTCCAGACTCAGTGCTACTACTGATATTTTTTTTAAAACCCAGTAATACTTTGCCCGACCCAGGAATCGAACCCGAGACCCCTCGCCTGGCAGTCACACTTGCGACCACTCGGCCATCGAGGCAGTCCATAAATTATACTAACTACATATTCTCAATTCTAGATGAAATAGACGGCGCCCCACTTCCTACAGTAGAGCTATTGGTTCGTTGGTGCACGGCCACTGTAACTGAGGGCAAGAAGAAGGCCAAGCAACAACCTTTGAAGCGACCTGTCATTGCGATATGTAATGACTTGTATGCCACCTCGCTTAGGCCTTTGAGGTAAGTTTCTAAATGTAAGCAATGAAAAAGATAAATAAATGATAAATTAGATTAGTGAAAAAGTTCGAGGTAAAATATTATGATGTTTTCCTGGTGGTTACCAAGGTTTATTTATTTTATCCTTACTAATATTATAAATCTGAAAGTGAGTTTGTTTGTTTGTTCCACCTTCACGCCGTAACTACTCAACCGATTGCTTTAAATTTTTGCAGACGTAAAGTTAGAAGTCCGGATTAAATAATAGAGTACATTTTAACCCGGAAAAAATTGATATTCCCCAGGAAAAACAAAAGTATTGGTATAGATGGCGCTGTGTGTATTGGTATATGTCACATAGGCTACTTTTTATTCTTTTGTGACGCGAGTGAAGCCGCGGGTAAAAGCTAGTTAAGAATAAAAACGATATGGGTGGATCTCAATCAATGTATGTTTAGCTTTATTCTATTAAGCATTGGCTTTTGTTTCTGTTATTCGAGCGAGACCGTTACCTCTAGTACGAATTGAATTTGAAATTACATTTATACCTACTTTTGTTAATCCTATTGTTGACGAAACTTCTTTATAACATCAAAATCTCGTATTATGTAGTTCCCGAGGTAAAATTATTGAGAAAATAAAGTAAACATCATCACGCCTTTTATCCCCGAAGGGGTAGGCAGAGGTGCACATTACGGCACTTAATGCCACTATAATGTAATACCCACTTTGTACTATTTATGTTATGAGTCCCATGTAATAGGGGGTGAGCCTATTCCCTACTCGGGAATCGAACCCGAGACCCCTTGCTCGGCAGTCGCGACCACTCGGCCAGTGAGGCAGAAAATAAAGTATGTATTAGCATAATTCGTTCATGAATGTTGTGTATGTCCAGGCCGGTGGCGCTGGTGGTACACGTGGGCGGGGTGTCCGCCAGCCGGCTGTCGTCCCGGCTGGCGGCCGTGTGCGCCAAGGAGCGGCTGGCCGTGGGCGCGCACGTGCTGGGGGCGCTGGCCGCGCGCGCCGCGGGCGACGTGCGCGCCGCCATACTGCTGCTCAGCTTCATCAAGGCTAGGGCCAAGGCACAGGTACGCGCATATATATTACTCACTGGTACCCGCTACTTCGTTCGCGAAAATATTCATATGACTTATTAATGTATACTTTTTTTGACGCGACAACGTGTTGATTGGCGAGGCGTATTTGAGAGCTATACTCGGAATTTTAATTCGATTCCAGATTTGACAATTTCAGTGTTGCAACGTTATGACAAGTACTAAATAGTGACGTTGCGAAATTATTCGATGTGGAAATGGAATATTTCGGGATCGATTCTTCTCGTTTATAATTTTACTCTCGTAAACTAAGTTAATCAGGAATTTAAATATTTCTGACTTCACAGACAGACTTTCTTTTATAATTATGTGTGAAATTGATAAAAAATTTAACCATGAAGGAACATAACAAATAAAACAGATAGATATATTATGGTAATAATTTATTTTATAAATTGTCGCTGTCATCGCTATCGCTATCGCTGTCACTTTCTGTAACATTTATTATAAAACTGATTGTTTATCGATTTTTGTGTTCATCACTACACTATTATATGTGGTATCATTATTTCACAAAATGACAGTAGCTAATGTCAAATCTGGAATGGAATTAAAATTCTGACTATAGTATGAAACGCAACGATTATTGTCTACTCAAGATGATCACTGCGGTTTGTTTGTCAGTGTCATTAAACTGTCAAACACCAAGCGGTCACCGGTGACCGCGACCTATTGTTCTTTAATTGTGTCTATAAAACCGGTACTCGACGAGTTAAAATGAATTATAAAACGAAATAAACTCTAAAATATCGATTTCGAGTCGACAAGACTCGAAATCGATATTTTTTTATGTTTTGTTATTCAGACAATGTTTCGATCGAATCTACCGTGACTCTTGACGAAATTATTAATATAGATGTTTCTATCTTTTAGCGTAAATACTCTTTGTTCATTCAATACCCAATACACTAGATTTTAATACTTCCCTCTTCAACAAATCATGCATATAATGTACACGAGAATAATACGCAAATACATCACCATTTCAGCTCAGTATGGATGATGTAGAGAACGTAGCAATCGGAACGAAAGACTGCAACAAGAACATAATGCAAGCGCTGCAGAGTATATTCACGACCAACGACAGGGAGCCAGACGCCATACTCAAGACTATACAGTCTGCTGGGGAGTATGACAGGTAACTACAATAATAATAAACATATAAGTCATGAAAGTCAACTTGTTTGTTGTTTGTGTGAAAATGTTATTTTAAAATTTAAATGAAGCTGTACACAAGTTTGCTGTTAGATTAATTTGATCGAACTGTGTATTAAGTAAAGGAATAGGAGGAAGATGCGAAACATTGATGCAGATTTATTAAAAAAATAGTTTACTTTCCAATCTTATTTGAATATGTTTTCGAGATTCATTTCGTGTGACACTCTCATGTCATTTAATGAGACTATGAGTACTATCACACCATGTAAAATTTCAAGTTTAAAATATATTTTATTCAACTATTTCTAGAAAAATCCTTTATACATACTGAATGTGAAAAAGAAAGAAAATATTATTTGTCAGATTGTAGTTACAATAAGTGTTTTATGTTAATTAATGTTTCATACATTCTACGGAATTGGTGTACAAATATTAGATTTATTTTGTGTTTATAAATATTAAGCATATTTTTTTATGGGATAAGTCGGTAGATGGGCAGACGGATCACCTGATGGTAAGCAATCGACGTCGCCCATGGACACCCGAAAAACCAGAGGCGTTACAAGTGCGTTACCGGCCTTTTGGGAATTAGGAATTTGAGGATTGTGGGGGATTTGGGGATTGAGGAGACTGGGGAAGGGGGTAATTGGGCCTCCGGTAACCTCACTCACACGATGAAATACAACGCAAGCGTTGTTCACGTCTGTTTTCTGTGAGGCCGTGGTATCACTCCGGTCGAGCCGGTCCATTCGTGCCGAAGCATGGCTCTCCCACACTTAATATATATATTTATGTTATAAATATTTTTTTTCTAGACTAATAGACGGTATATTCGAGAACTACCTGTCAGGCCGAGTGGACGGGCGCCTCGTGTTGGCGACGGAGACCGTGTCGTGGCTGCAGCAGTACGACGTGCTGTCCGCGTGGACGTTACGGCATCAGAACTACTCGCTCTATGCAGCGTTGCCGCTCTGCATCGCACGTTGCCATTCTTTGCTGGCCACCAGAACACCGATGAGGGTTAAGTTCCCTTTGCAAGCGCAGGAGGTATGTAAAAAATCTTTTTTCCATTTTTTTATCTTTCCATAGGCATGTTGTTAAAACAACATAGGTATGTTGTTTCGTCGTGTGAGTGAGGTTACCGGAGGCCCAGCTCCCTCCCCCCTTCCCCAATCTCCCCAACAATCCTCAAACTCCTAGGTAATCCCCAAAAGGCCGGTGACGCACTTGTAACGCTTCTGGTGTTCCAGGTGTCCATGGGTCGACGCCGATTGCTTACCATCAGGTGATCCGTCTGCTCGTTTACAGGCCATATAAAAAAAACAACATGTAATGAGAAGACTATTAATTGCTTTATATATTTTCCGTTCTGTACAGTATAAAATCATTAAATATTTTTACCTAAATATCTAAATTCTAATTGTTACCATACATTAACAAGCATTACATATTTAATTTCAGTTCATTTGAAATACTTGAATCTGGACAATCTAGTTTCCTTATGGCATAGAGCATTTCTTTCTTTATTGAAACAAAGAGTTTTCTTGTATAGAAGCACTATTTTTATGGATTGTCAGTATGCATATGTGAGCACCATGTTAGACTATAAGATTTTTATCTTTTTATTTTAGAAACTTTTGTAATTAGTATAATGCGTCAAGCATGTCTTTGCATTGTTCTCACATATACATACACTATACAGTATTGGAATATTTATCAGAGACATTGTAGAACATACTTTTTTTAAAAGAGTAACGAATGGATCTATCTATCATTTTAGAATGAGCACCCGGCTTCACCTAGCTTCACTGACGGACTGACTGACAGACTATTATTTATTTTATATTTGTTGACGTTTCAAAAGTATCAAATTATGGTTTAATTGAAATAAATGCTTTGACTTTGACCAAAAGGCAATCTTTGATTTATTTATTGTTAAGTATTCTATAATCTACAATAGCTATTCGACTAAATGTCATATGTCTTAATTGAGGACGAGGACGTCCATATAAAGTTATTGCACTAGAAACTAACTTAACACATTTATTTGCATTCCAGATGTACCGCAAAAAGTTAGAGATAGAAAGTATAGTCTCGTCCGTGCTCCGCGGCAGTGCCCCGTCCGTGAGCGTCAGTAGACTGGCGCTAGTACTCGACGTGTTGCCACTACTGCCGTATCTACTCGCGCCCAATCTCAGGACTGCTAACGTACAGGTAATATTTAGTTAATACTAGCTTTTACCCGCGGCTTCGCTCGCGTCACAAAAGGATAAAAAGTAGCCTATGTGACATATACCAATACACACACCACCATCTATACCAATACTTTTGTTTTCCCTCGGGAATATCAAATTTTTCTGGGATAAAAAATACCCTATTATTTAATCCAGACTTCTAACTTTACCTCTGCAAAATTTCAAAGCAATCGGTTCAGTAGTTACGTCGTGAAAGCGGAACAAACAAACAAACAAACTCACTTTCCGATTTATAATATTAGTAAGGATTATTTGTATTTTGTACTAAGGGGAAGATTATAGTTGTCGATTTCTACTTGGAAGGGTATAACAGATCCTATCGTATTCTAGCACACAATTAATTTTTGTAAATTTAATAATAATGTATACATTTATGAGAATAAACAAATAAAAAAAAAAAAGAAGTCTTGAATGGCTTAGGGCCAATTTTTAATGCTGAGATAAATTTTAACTGAGGGATAACTTTCAATATTTGACAATTAATCCATACTAAAACTGTTCAACTGTCAATTTTATTCTACAGTTAAGCATTAACTGATGATTGAAACATCGTCCCTTAAACAACTATACCATAATGTCATGGTGGCCCGGTGGTTTAAGACGCCCGTTTCTCATACATGAGCAGGTACGAAACCTACCAACAGCACTTGCTGTACTTGGTACTTACCAATGTGACTTTTTCCGAGTTATATGTACTTTCTAAGATTATCTAGACACCACTGACAAACGGTGAAGGAAAACATCGTGAGAAAATCTGGGCTTATAATTTCTAATTATAAGTTTGTAATCGCAACCCGCCTTGAGCAAGCGTGGTGATTAATGCTCAAACCTTCTCCGTGTGAGAAGAGGCTTTGCTCAGCAGTGGGCATTTATAGGCTGTTGATGATGAAACAACTATAGGATGACATTATGGACATAATTTTGGCACATGCGTCGCTATTAATGGACTTAAGACTCTTAAAGGGCCTTTAGAAACTTGAAACAGATAGTTGTTCAGTCTTGATTATGTCATGGATATTCCACAGTCCACATAAGTGCTGCCATGTGAAAAATTACATCGTAAAGATAAATCTATGTCGCGGAGAACCTAACGGGTAACCGGGGCTCTGGCTCGACGTGCAGGAGAAGGAACGGGGTGGTTTTTAGTCAGTAAGAGTTTGACACTCCCTCCCGCCTCACCCAGTCGGGAGCAGTCATTCGGTGATTTTCCCCCCTTAATAAAAAAAAAGATCAATCTATCAGATAAAAAAATGTTATTATCCACTTTTCATGAATTAGGCAAAAAGTTCAATAATTTACGTATCATTTGTTCGATGAATGTATTACTTCCTGTATTTTTAAAAACAATCTTGAATTATTTGTGTCCAGCTATGCAGCGCCAGCGAGCGCCAGTCGCTCCGTACAGTGGCGGGCGCCATGTGCGAGTACGGGCTGCAGTACGTGCAGCGCCGCGCGGCGGACGGACTCTACGTGCACGCGCTCGAACCTGACATATACAGGGCCGCCTTCTTTGGTACATATATTATTTGTATTCATAAAAATTACATGTTTATTTTCTGTATATTTTATTTTGGTTTAGCCAAATCTACTTAGCAGTATTGTAAAGGGCATAAATAAATTTAATTTTATTTTAATGTCAAGGGTAGATTATTTTAAAACATTAGACACGTATTTTTTCTTTGCTCACAAACTTCAATACTTTCGACGATATATTCATTTGAAATATCGTGTGACGTCACAGTCTGCTACATTTTACAGCACGTTGTGACGTAATGACCTCCCACTCCTAAACTTACGCCATTTTATCTAAGTTGTAGCTTTATACGACAAAATAAAAAAACAAGTGTCTAATATCTTTCATTATTTAACTGACGGACTAATTCGATTTTTAAATTTCTTACCCAGGCAACTACCCAATTGAACCAATAAAACTATGTGACTAGAGAATTGTATTATTAATCTGATTGAAAAAGAGTAACCTATGGAGTTTCTTGCTTGTTCTTCTCCATAGGAATCTACACCTTGGAATGAGCAAATAGCTTCACTTTTAATTGTTTGTTGACGTTCAAAAGTGCCTTTCTGGTCTAATTGAAATGAAATAAATGATTATTACTTTGACTTCAAAGCGTTAAGAGAGCTTAATAATGCACGGTTTAATTACAGGAACGGTTTACTTAAAATTATAATATTAAAGATTTTACTGGAGTTGTCTGTGAAGTTCAATAGAACAAGTGTGGGAGAGCCACGCTTCGGCTCGAATGAGCCGGCTCGAACGGAGTTATCACTCCACGGCCTCACAGAAAACCGACGTGAAGCAGCGCTTGCGTTGTGTTTCGTCGTGTGAGTGAGGTTACCGGAGGTCCAATTACCCCCTCAATCTCCCCAATCTCTGAATCCCCAACGACCCTCAAATTCCTAATCCCCAAAAGGCCGGTAAAGCACTTGTAACGCCTCTGGTGTTCCGGGTGTCCATGGGCGACGCCGATTGCTTACCATCAGGTGATCCGTCTGCTCGTTTACCGGCTTATGCCATAAAAAAAGAACAAAGCAATGGAATGAAAGTACACATTATTCACTACATTACAAATGTCAATGTTTTCTAAACTATAACTTAAATGTAAATGTAGGCACTGAGGAGAAGGTGCGCCTGACTCCAGCGATCAGACAGGCGATAGCGCGGGAACAACAGCTCGAAGTTATCAGGCGGAGTGAGGAAATGGTACAGTATTATATTTTCTTAATTTAGATACTTTCGTCATATAAAAATGTTTTTTCAATATTACTAAATATTAAAAGAAAATGTTATATCAATACCACTAAATACAAATAATCAATGGCGGCTTAATTTGACGATAACTTTTTTTTTTGTAAAACTCATATATTTTTTTTAAGAAATAAATTACTTATATGTCTCCTAAACATGATGACACTACTGGTGATTTCGTAAGAAAATCATAGAATAAATCGTATTGACATTTTGTTAAGTTTGTATTGAATTTGCAACAAATCTATTCAACAATAAACGGTATTCAATAAAATAAGAATGATCGTAAAAGTAGTACTTACTACTGTTTTTAAATTCTTAAAGCGTTGTTTTTTTCTCTAGGCAAGTAGAGTACCAGCAAGATCTAACGCAACGAGCACACCAGCTAAGAAATCAAGCAGTACCACAGATACAAAAGAGCCATCGACAACCAAAGACAAGGAGTTGCCCCTACCCAACCATTTGCAGCGGTTACAGCCTAAAGTGGTCAAGAAGAATACTCCACAGGTAAGTTATTATAATATTAAAATTATTTCCACCATATTTTATTACATGACATGAAAAATATTGGCAAATCCTCATACGAAACCTAAGGAATAGGAATGATGACAGGGTATGAAAATTAAAAATCTAATTAGTCCGTCAGTTAGGTAATAAAAAAATATAAGACACGTATTTTTTTATTTTGTTGTATAATTAATAAAATTATACTTACATATAACGAATCAAAGTTCAGTAGTAGGGGCTAAAACGTCATTTCTACGTTTAAAATGGACATAGAAGTGACGTCACGTGACATTTCAAATCAATATATCGTCAAAAGTATTCGTGTCTGTAATAAAATAAAAAATACGTGTCTAATGTTTTAAAATAATCTACCAGACGGACATTAAAATAAAAATTAGGCATCTACCCTATTCAAAAGTTTCTGTCAAATTCTAACTGGCTTAAAACACCTCGGTGTCTCTTGTGTATTACATGTAAGTCAGGGTTCTATAGTAAAATGTTCACTCAGCAATCACATCACACATCCGTCAGTACGATTTGAAGTCTCCCTAGTTCATCCTACCACTTGTGTAATTAACTAATTCACGTACAAACTGATTTATAATGAACTGGATAACAATAAATTATGGTTGCTTACAATTTTCTTTTAAAGAACAAATAACGAAGAGCTTATAATCAAAAATGTGAATTAACTAACCATACGTTAAGTGTGGGAGAGCTATGCTTCGGCACGAATGGGCCGGCTCGACCGGGGTGATACCACGGCCAAGCAGAAAACCGACGTGAAACAACGCTTGCGTTTTGTTTCGTCATGTGAGTGAGGTTACCGGAGGCCCAATTACCTCATTCCCTAGTCTCCATAGTTTCCCGAATCCCCGAATCCTCCATAATCCTCAAATTTCCATTTTCCAAAAGGCCGGTAACGCACTTGTAACGCCTTGGTGTTTCGGGTGTCCATGGGCGGCGCCGATTGCTTACCATCATGGAGGTGATTGGTTGGATCAAGGTGATCCGTCTGCTCGTTTACCGGCTTATGTTATAAAAAAATATACTATTTAGGGCCGATTTTACAATCTTCAGTTATTTCTTAACTGTCGAATAAAATTAAAATTTGTCAGTTTTTAGTATCGAGGAGTTGTCAAATATTCTTTCTCAGTTAAAATTTATCTTGCGTTGGAAAAATCACCCCTATACCAATTTTCCTCTCATGAAACTAACGAGCCTATATAAATCACTACAATATATATAACAAAGTGTTAAGTATGTTATTTAAGCAAACAAAATATAAGTAAAAAGAGAGAAGGCTATCGACACACACATTTATTCGTCTTCAATTGTTTTACAAATTCGAGGGCTCCGCCACGCACATAGATAATCTATCACCATAGACTATACTATGACCATAGAGTACACCACAGATACACAACACAAAACTGCAACGAAAAGAAAAACCGCGCTACACTTACAAAAAGCAATAAACACGTCCATATAAATTCATATCGCGAATCAAAATATCATCTCCGTCCACAATACGGCGGCTAACAGGGTTCCGCAAAGAAAGAACTCGTTAGTCCATGAATAGCCCTACCAGATGAAGTTTACACATTTGATGGAATAAATTACCGCGGCTATGTACGGAACACTCGCGCTCGGATTTGATACAGCTTTTTTAATTGCTATAAGATTTTTTGCGGTAGCCAGGCAAGGGAGGTTTTTTTTAGTGTAAGGAGTTTTTTTAAAGGGCTGTGTAGGTGGTGAAATTGGTTATCGTTCTGTGGTTGTTTCTTCTCTAAGGTCTACATAGGTTAAAGCATTGGTTTGGTGTGTTTGTTTATATGTTTTTACCGTTATTACGCTAATAACTTAAGTAGTAAATTGGATATATTTTATGGTTGCTTAAGAATTTAAATAAATGGTAAATGCAATACCTACATAGTAAAATGTCTTGTTATTAATTTACTGAAATATTTTCCAAAATTTTCGTAGCAATTTGCCATCTCATATGTACCAATTTTTACCTAAGCCATAAATTCTCACTCCTTGTCGTTTTAATCGATTTTAAAAAGGAAGAGGTTCGCAATTTAGCTCTCAATTTTTGGTTAATGATTATTTTAAAAAAAACCACAACTTTGCAGTCACAAGATTTTTGTTTAATGATAACTATCGTGAGACATACTAAATTAACTAAAAATCGCGGGTTACTTACGTGAAAATACTTAGTAGCTCTACTAGTTTCGAACCACAGACGGGTTCTTCCTCATAAGCAACGTGCGCGGTCGCTGCGATGTCGCGCAAACTGCGTAACCCGCGATTTTTAGTTAATTTTTGTTTTAATTAATAATCTGAACAGTATAACGATGTATTTTAATAAAACAGATGTGTATCCTAGCAGATAGAACATTGTGTATCACAAGTAATAGGCGCGCGCAAGGTGGGAGCACACTGCGAATCTTGCTAATTAAAACTGTGTTTGCTTAATCCGCATCGCGTATTGTGAGAGCGTGTAAGCGCTTCAGACCAACTTCCCATAGAATATATCAGTGCAATGCAGAGGTGACATTCTTTTGACATACAAACATAAATTCTCGCTTGTCTCCCATGGGGGTAGGCAGAGACTATGCAACGCCAATTACTACGATTCCTACATATCTCTTTCAAGGGAAGATGACTGTTGATGGAGCCATCAATAGTAATCAATCTTTTCATGTATGCTCGTCGGTGATATGGACATTACATTCTTTTGACCTGTCGCGGAGAACCTAACGGGTAACTGGGGCTCCGGCTCGACGTGCAGGAGAAGGGACGGGGTGGTTTTTAGTCAGTAAGAGTCTGACACTCCCTCCCGCCTCACCCAGGCGGGAGCAATCATTCGATGATTTTCCCTCCTTAAAAAAAAATCTTTTGACCTTCAAGCAAAGAGCGTATTCCTTTTTAAAAGGTCGGCAACGCACCAGTGTCTCCTCAGCAGCTGTAGCCAAATGCCATTTAACGCTTATCTACTTGTAGAGTAGAAAACTAAATCATATAGAATTGACGTAAATTTTGACACTTGTCAGTGTCATCCCCATACATTTTGATTTCTACTCTCTCTCTCTCTCTGTAGACAAGCGCTAAAGTGGCGTTTGGCTAAAGGCACTGGTGTTGCGGGTGTTCCATGGGCGGCACTGATCGCTTACCATCAGGTGATCCGTCTGCTCGTTTGCCTCCTATACCATAAAAAGGGTAGGATAAACTGATTAATAAATTGTTTATTTGTAAAGGTTCTAAAAAATATTGTAAGTGAGATTAAAATGTCGAATGATTTAATTAGCATTTTTAATGATTTTTGTATAATGCTAGCTAATTAGATGGCGCTAATGAGTTTTATCGTCATACTAGTTCAATTATAAACTAAAGATACTTAGTTGCTGAGTCAAATTGCATAAAAGTAGCGCGAGATAACTTACATATACAGATTAAAAATATTTCAACAAGAAACTAGAAACACTGGACTGAATTGACATAATTTCCTCACAGAGGCTTTTCCAGTTATAATTTCAAACAGTGTCACGTCTATCCCACCTCACCACGGCTAAACACGATCGTAGCGCGAAGTCACGTAATCACAGCAATCTCAGAGCGAGGGCTCGCACAAAAAGAAATAATTAACCCATCCGCGTCGCTGCACTTGTCACGTCATGTCGCAGCTTTAATGTTACCCACTGTCACGCTGCGCCTGCCTACACGTACACTGTATAGTTTAATATGTTTCTTTAGTTATAAAAACATTAAAAATATGTAATTACCCCATGGTTGACTGTAAGAGAATGCCACCTGTATTAAATCCGCTATCGTGTGTCATACAGAAGTGTAAATATATAAATAAATAATTCATTAACAGTAAATGTTAATGTATTTGTCACGTTTTGATATGGCTTTCATATTGAACATTTTCAAGCTATCGACACTTACCCTGTTGGCAGAATTAACTTTCGTTAATCGTTTTATTGTAAAAAGTAATAATATAATTCTGGGTGTGGTCAAAAATTTGTTTATCACGCTACGATGTCCTAATTTTTATGGGATAAGCCGGGATCACACTGATCATGTGATCGCCAATGCCCACCTGAGGCGTTACAAGTGCGTTACTGGCCTTTACGGTATTGCGCTAGCCAATATTCAAAATAAAAATGATTATTTCTCACTGCTAAATCATGAAATAGATATCTAACAAAAAGTTATGAAGTGAAATTAAAAATATGAGGTAAAGTTAATGTCAAAACTTTTGGAAAATATTTCTAAAATAATGTCCCTCTTCGAGAGCTAGTCTTCTTGTTTTTCCTAATTATAAATGTTCCATTATTTAAAAAGCCCGTCAGAAAAGAAGCGTAAATCAAAATTTCTTAAAGGCTTCGGTGTCAAAACTGAAAAGTTATCATTTTTTAAATGTACGGCTTTAAAAGTAGCGGTTTTATACGGTAAACCGATCACTTAGTTTGAAAGAACAATAAAATTGTTAGAAAAATTATTAAGAGTAACGCGCCCTTTGTTTATGACAATTACATTTATCATCATGAATGATTTTGTGACTGGATGGTATACAATCTCCTATAATACACGCTTGACTATTGCCGGAATACTGAAACGTTACTGAATTTTAAGTCGTGCTCAAATATCGTGCCGTCTCTGTCATTTTACAAAGAATTTGTAGAGACAGAACTATACCTAAGCGCGACTTAAAATTGAGTAGCGTTTGAGTATTCCGACATATGGCTGATAATTAGCCATTTAATGTTCATTGTATGAATTAACAAATTATGTGAAATGAATCTTTCTGTTTTTCTCATGGATTGATTTTGCATGGCTAAATGATTAATTCCAGGATATTTTATGTGTGACAATAATAATGAATCGTAATACACACCACAGCGAACACCTCTTGTCTATCAAAACCGCTAACTTAGTAGCTGTATAATAATTCCCATTAAAGTCTGGAGTGAGTTCCGTCAATATGGCCGGCC